TTGAAACGGAAGAATGAAGAAAAGAAATAAAAATGAAGTTAAGATAAGAAGTAATCTGGAATCAGAAAGCACTACGCTAAGTAATTACTAGTCTGTTTATGTGTCCCTGTATATTTTGCTAAACATGCATGCATTATTTGTTTAATAGAAGAAAATATATACAGGGTAAAGAAGTGCCTTCCAGGGGAAACGTTTAAATTAGGTAATTCTGATTTTAACTGCTTAGTCAAATGATTGAAATGCAATTTTTAAAAAACAATATTTAGTAGTCAAGCACCAGGCAGCAATGAGCTCTCCAGCTTGGGTAACAGTGGGCTTCATGTTGTCCTCTCTAGATAAACTTTTTACCTATCTAATGTTGCTGGTCCTGGGGCATGAGTGAATACCTCCAGGGTTGGAACTAGTGGTCTTTGCCACCTCCCTGGACTCTTAGATTGCACTGATCCCTTTCCTTCAGTACTGAGCAATGTGTAGTAGAATATTTTCTGTTAAACGATTTTCAAAAGAATGTCACCAAGATGGTTATGGAACCAAACCCCCAAAATCCAAACAAAGCATTGAATAAAATAGTTCCCTTTGGCATTAGTGTGTTAGTTTTTTCCATATGGCAGTAGTGGAAATCTATGAGCATTTGGGCCCTAAATTTAAGATGCATATTTGCTAAATACACAGGGATGGTTTTTCAAATTCTGTTTCTGTTTAATGCCTATTCCAGCTGATTGACTAGGGTTACTGATAAAATACAGTAGCTTCCCCTTAGAAGAGGTGGGTCACGTGAGTGAACAGGATAGCTAATTAATACAAATTGCAGTAGTGGCAGATGCTTTCATTCCTATTTCTTCTTTTCTGCTATCAACATTTAGTTACTGTGATATTAGAGGTACAGGTTACAAAGTAGCTTTATTCTGGTTACCCATCCCTACCACTTACTGAGAAATTCAACCAAAAAGCTGTCTCTTCCTTTTCTGTGTGTTTTATTTTAGCTGAGTAGAAGGGTCAAGTGATTGTTGTAATGTTGTTACTCTCAGTTGGATGAGACAAGTACACATATCAAAATAATATCCAATAGTAGCCAGCCAACAGTTTTCTACCCAATTGAGAATGCCAAGGGTATCATCTCATACAGTTCTTCCTGAAATAAACTTTCTCTGAGAGTTGTCAGATCTTCATGCTCTTGGAGAAAGTGACTTAAATGGCATTTCTTAGAGAATCCATTTTCTGATGCTTTCAGGCCTGTTTATTTCTGTATCTTGCAAGCAGAAGAAAATTTTCTCATAAGGAGTTTTGCGTTCCTTTGTCAAATTTCTTGCCATAGATAAACTAATGATAACATAAATGTTACTTTTATGTTCCAAATTACTCAAAGAGCAGGCAGGAAGCTGAGGTAAAAGTGATGTGAACGAATATTACATTTTAATTCCAAGCCCATGGATTCTTTTATGAAGAAACCTGACAGGTCCTTGGGGTGCAAAAGAGGAAAATACCTCTTAACCCCCAGCCCACTAAAGGAAAGAAAGCAATTTGGAATCCGGTTATGACCCAAGCTGGATAGACTTAAGGTGAGAAAACATTGCTAGTGGACCGTTGTGTCCATTTGTTTTTGTTTTCCCCCTTGACCAAAGCATCTGTGGGTCCCAGTGTATCTCCTCCTCGGACCATAGGGAAGATGAAGAGGAGGCCGGCTTCTGTTCCTAAGAACAGGCAGTGTGTGAAAGACCACCTTAATCAGAGGTCTGATTAATGCTAGGGGGAGTCAAAGCAAGGAAGTCGGGATGACAGCGTTTCAGGAAGGTAACCTTTGCCAAGAGAAAAAAATCATCAGTAGGAAGCATGTAACTTCTGAAGTTGACTAAGTCAAGTAAGTCAGACTTAACTAGTATGATAAACACAGTGTTTTAAGAGATGCAGATGCCCAATTCCAGGCCACCTAAAAACAGACTCCAGCTCAGAGTTCTTGTATTTGAAAATGCTGTAGACGTTTAGTGCATACCTGTGTTTATGAGCCACTGTTTTAAATCTAATAAACTATATTCAGTTTTTAAAATAATACAGGGATTGGATGGTGATTCCTTCTTTCAAATACGTTTTTGTAAGGTGGTTGCTGTTCTCAGAGTAGGGAGATGTAGATTATTTTGTTGGAAGGCTAAGTGTGTGCTGTATTTTTACTTGATGTATTCCCTGCAGGTTTTGTGTTAGGATGTGGCTGAGATCCAGTCTGTGAGAGCTTGATTGATTCCCTGAGCATTTTTCAGGGAAATTTTGGCTTTATTCATGCTAATTTTCGGTTCATGGTCCCTTTTTGTGAGGCAGTGGTGTCCAGTTCTGTCTCTTGGTGTGGTTTTAATGTGTTGACCGTGTCAGCCCTAACAGTGGAATTTGAAGTATCCTTAGATTTAGGAGCTTCCCCAACTGGTTTTACAGATTTGCCTGTCTGCATTAATATTTAAAGTTAACATTATGCTTTCGATTTGGGTGCTAATTTTAGGTCTTATTTTTTGTAGACAAGCTTTATTTATTCCCTTGCATATGTATTTCCCAGCCAGTTAAATGGCCAAAATAACTTCAGAAGGCTTTAACTTTTTTAAGAAAATATCCCTGATAAAGGTGGAGACGTTTAGGTGCTGTCCCAAACACGTGTCAGTATAGAAAAGGAAGCCTTTGCATTCTGGTATTTCCGTTATTCCTGGCCTAAGAAATGATTGCTTACAAAATGTATCTGCGTAGTCCGTTAGTTTTGGAGGCTGAGTGAAAACTGTGGTTTCCCAAATATTATATCTGTGATCTGCTGGAATTTAAGGAGAAAACTTCATTAAGTCTTATTTTTTAGGTTAGGAGTAGTATCTCTTCCCTCAGTGGACAGACTGCTGAAGCATCTTAGCTTAGAATAAAAGCTTTTCTGTTAAATAAAGCCAGGAGCTTATTAAAGAGGACCTTGACTTGACCCATTCTTCCTTTATACTCAGATTCCTGGGCCGACTGATTTCTGTTAACTACAGTTACTTTATTGGTAGTCTTCTAACTGTTAATGTGAAACATCCATATTCTGCTTTCACTTCCATTGAGGTAATCTCTCTAGTGTTGGAGTAAATAGGCATTTAGCAACTTTTGGGTTCCCCATTTCTATTTTCTCACCTGTATTAATTTTTGCTTGTGGTAAAAGTAGCAAAAACTACACCCTCATTTTTGAGTCTTCAGAATACTTGATAGGGAACTCCAAGGGATTGTTATTTATTGGAATCCCCAGAGCATCACTACATCCTTTAACCATTTCTTGATGTTAAAGGCAACTGTCCTCACTAATAAAGAAGGGTATCATATTTTTCTTTTAATCTCTTTACAGTCACTCATGGAGGGAGGTAGAGGGGAAAGGCTGTCACATTTCATGTCACCTCACCAATGTTTTATAATGGCCTTGAAGTCATTTGAACGTTTCTAGAGTCGTCTGGGCCTAGAGACCTGAACTCATTTTACTGCATGAGTTAGCCTTTCCTTCTCTGTTAAACCTGAAACCTTAATTTGTCTCTTCTGTGTTACATTATACATTTTTTCCCTGAGCATCAAAGGATCATCCAAATTTTCTCCGTTATGCTGTAAACCACAAAACTATCTTCTAAAGTGTTTTGAGGTGTAATTTAAAATAATCCTCTATCTTCTGTCCTTTCAAGAATGTCCAGAATACTCTGAAGATGTTTCACACAAGGAAATCTCCTGTGATTAAATTTTATGTGGAAGCTTCACCTTTGATTCATGCCATATAGTGACTTATCGTAATACTGCTTCCTTTTGAGTCTTGCTATTTCTGCTCTCTTGAGTAGAAAGGCTCACCAGGCTTTACTTTGTCTAAGTTGGATAGCCTAAAATAAAGGTTGTCTTATTTGATAATTTTACCTATCAGACTGATGAGGAGTAAGTAGGTTCTGTCCCTTCCTCATCTGCTGTTTTGGTGCCTTGGCAGAACTTTTCCTTCGTTTCATTACTTAATATACCTTTTGTTGATTAATTCTGACTATGTGTCTTTAACTCGTTGATGACCTAGTTGTCCTGGTTAGCCATTCCTTTGCTATTTTTCATTACAGATCCCCCACCCCCACCCCTTAACATGCCAGCCGATCCCAATTTTGATTGGGAAAGCTTTGGCTTTTGTGTGTAGTTTCTATCCTCTTTCACTTCCTGGGCCCTAGATTAGGAGCTCCTGATTTAGCTGCCCTGGTTTTAATGTGTGCTTAAGTTAACTAGGTAAGTTAGGTTAATTCCTGTTTTCCCATAAGTTTGCCCTGGCTCATCTCCATTTAGCTGGAGAAACTGTGAAGGATCTCTGATATCTTCTCTACTCTTATTTGTGTGTAGTTCGCTGTTCTGTTATAGCTCCATCTGGTTGCTTTCAGTTTTTTAGGGGGCCTCCCACCATGGTTAGATGCAATAGGGTTTTACAGGGTTTAGTGTCTTTCACGCTAGCCTTTGCTTTCCACTAGGTTTCTACCTTTCTCTAGGATTTGAAACTGAGATCATCATCTTTATCTCTTTTATCACTGAATTATAAATAATAACTTGAAAGGTCAAGGTCTATTTTTTTAAGTAAATTATATAAATTTTATAGGGTTTGTTTTATTGATTGCAACTTGATTGAAATAGGTATAAAGTATAGGTGTCATAGTTAATAAGGTTCCGTCTCACCCTAGTCTTTATGGAGTAACATTCTGAAACACAGTCCTTGGACAGTTCCCTTAACTGCTTGACTTTGGCACCCCTTTCTGAAGGAAGTGGGGTCAAATAATTCTTATCCCTGCTCCAAAAAGGTGGAAGAAAGGACAAGTTAATTGACTTATGTCATTTGGAGCAATGAAACTATTAACACCAGGTATACTCAGTTCCTGCCCTTACCTATATTTTCTTATCTTGGAAGGGGATTGCTGTCCCTCGCCATTTATCTCACAGCAGCTTATTTGTTTTTAAAGTTGCCCAGAAAGTGTGCAAATTAAACTTTTAACATCTACGTGTAGGAATCCCGTTCTGCTTCCAGAAGTGGAAGTGCTCACGGATCGGGGAAATCTGCAAGGCATACCCCTGCAAGGTCTCGCTCCAAGGAAGATTCCAGGCGTTCCAGATCAAAGTCCAGGTCCAGATCTGAATCTAGGTAAGAAAGACTGTCTTGAGATTTCCTCGTTACTCTTAGCTCTGAAATTGGTGCGTGTTTTGTAAACCAGGAAGTTAGAGAAGGTTAGATTATTTGTTGGCCTATTAAATATTGGCACTAGAAGTGAACTTAAGTTCTGGGAGGCAAGACTAAAAGCGGTTAAGAGCCTGGGCTTTTGGAGTCAGGGTTCTCTATTTTTGTTGGTTTGGGCAGATTATATAACCTTTCAGCATTAGCTTCTTTATAAAAGGCAAATTAGAAATACAGTACCAGTTCAGGGTGGTTGTGAGGATTTACTGAATGTAAGTAAATTGCTTATTAGTATGGCAAATAGACTGCAGAACATTGGCTTTCAGTAATTGCAATTCTGGATTAAATAAGTATATACGTGGTGCGCTTTTTTTTTTTTTTTAATGTTGGTGAAGAGTAGGCTATATATATACACATCCTGGTTTGCCTGGGACAATACCAGTTTATGCCTGTGGTCAGGCATAATTAACAGCACCCCTTTTCTTAAATGTGTCCTGGTTTCGATGACAACTTAGAGTCACTCTAGTTAGTCAAGAGCCACTCGATTTTTTTGTTTTTGTTTTTAACTGCTGGGGAATACTTGTGATTTTGTTACTGTATTAAGTTAATGATGGGCATAATGGGAGACAGAAAAGTAGAGAAATGGTTTTCTGAGGGGGAAAGATGGGCACAAGCCAACTTAGTAAAATACTGCATGCCTTGATTTGCAAAAGATAAGTAATGTGTCTTTAATTGGAAGAAATACTGGAGGAGAGCTTGTGGTTTTTAGAACGCTTCCTAGCAAAGTTGAAATGACTTAATAGAGAAGAAAAGTATTGATCCTATTAAGTTGGTAACCATGTTAGCATATTCCTGGATTGTTCTCTCTTTTGGAGTTTAACTTTAGAATAGAGTAATAAACTTAAAGAAGTTGTTGTCAATCGTAACCTTAGGGAGGTGTCTTTGTCTTGCAGGTCTAGATCCAGAAGAAGCTCCCGAAGGCATTATACCCGGTCACGGTCTCGCTCCCGCTCCCATAGAAGATCACGTAGCAGGTCTTACAGTCGAGATTATCGTAGACGGCACAGCCACAGCCATTCTCCCATGTCTACTCGCAGGCGTCATGTTGGGAATCGGGTAAGGCAAAAAACTGGTTTTGAAGCAGTGAATTGCCTAAATTTACTTTTTCTTAAAGTTAGAGCTGATTTTGACAATAGAGCTTTAGCAGTGGGTGCCTGAGTGAACTTTTTAGTGTTTTGAGACTGTCTTTTAAGTTAATCTTCATGAAGGGGTCTGCGTTTGGCCTACCTGTCATTTAAGCATAATACTGACACAGTGATGATGTAACTCCTTAGCCCATCAAAAGAAACTTCCCACTGTGCATTACTATACTGTACTATAGTATTAGCACATTATTTCAACATATAGTTGTATGCTAACGTTACTCTTTTTTTCCAGGCTGCATAAACCCAATTAGATGCTCTCCTAACTTTCTCATTTAATTTGAAGCTAATTTCTTTTTGGTGTTGTTAAGGTGTTTTTTACATTTCATGAAAGACTTCAAATGAGATATTTATTGTGATTTCATTGTATAATCCAAGTGGTTTAGGAGGAGGATGCGGGGGGACTTAATGTTTTTACAGTAGAGTAGAATTTTTCCCTAGTAAATTGTTAGTTTATGAAATAAATGGAATCTTTAGGTAAATTCATCACAGCATCTGGAATGTTAGCAACATATGGTTCACTCTTTATTCTTTCCTCTGTCATCGTTTTTTGAGACAGGACCTCACTCTGTCACCCAGTCTGGAGTGCAGTGGTGCAATTTCAGCTTACTGCATCCTACCTTCCAGGCTTAAGCGATCCGCTCACCTCAGCCTCCTGAGTAGCTAGGACTACAGGCATGCACCATCATACCCAGTTACTTCTTGTATTTTTATAGACGTGGGGTCTCTGTGTTGCCCAGGCTAGTCTCAAAACTCTCCTGAGCATCAAGCAGTCCACCAGTCTTGGCCTCCCAAAGTGTTTGGATTACAAGCATGAGCCACTGCACCTGGCCAACTCTTGTTTCTTATGATTGCAAGCTGTTTATGACCTGTAAAATGGTTTGGTACACATCCCCCTTGGGCTTCATTTATGTACATACACTTGTGCATTGTGTTTCTTGAAAAATCAACCCATACATGCTCATCAATTCAGAGCATTTTATTGAATGGAAAGTGTGTCAACATTAAAATTTTTTCTAGCTGATGGACTCTGTGGTTCCAGTTATCCTTGTGTGTCATGTTACGAATATGTGGATTTTTCTCAGAGTAAATTCATAGAAGGGGAAAGATGCAGGTTGCTTGTCACCAGCACGAGTGATTGTTTCCCCATTTAATTCTAAGGTTGAAATTTTTTCTTTTGCATTTTTCCTACCCATTCCCAAAAATGCTTATAGTACTTGCTGTAATTTTGTAATTTCCAAGTGGTATTTGGTCTAATTATTATGTAATTTTCTTGTTAGTGACATTTTGGCTAGTATATAGCTCCCTTTTTTAAAAACTTTGATTTTATGACAACTTTCCAAAGTTAAAAAAATTTTTTTTTTCCCTAGGCAAATCCTGATCCTAACTGTTGTCTTGGAGTATTTGGGCTGAGCTTGTATACCACAGAAAGAGATCTAAGAGAAGTGTTCTCTAAATATGGTCCCATTGCCGATGTGTCTATTGTATATGACCAGCAGTCTAGGCGTTCAAGAGGATTTGCCTTTGTATATTTTGAAAATGTAGATGATGCCAAGGAAGTAAGTAAAAGTCGACCTGTTCCTTTGTAAACCACCAGTTCTATTGTTAACACCAAGTACCAGTGACCAGTTGCTAGGATAGGGACAAGGACAAGTCAGTAATACTTTGAACTTTTTCTCCAGCCTCTTGTGGAGACTGAGATACCTGCACAATAACAGAAAATTTTGTATAACTTGGGAAAGTTGGTCCTACCACCTACTTTATTAGTTGCCACCTACTGGGGTCAACTATACCCCAATTCCACCAGGATATGTAGTCAGTGTTTACATTGAGTTTACATTCTGGAGTCGAAAATAACCAAAAGTAAAGTTATGTTCCTTTTTTGGCAAGTGAATGATGTCATATTTGGATTTTGACTTGAGGCAGAATATAGGAGTCAAGATATGTGAGGCTAGATCCCATTTAAGAAATTCAGACTTCAGGTACAGAAAGGATGGTAGCTCAAGTCGTCTCCCAGTATAGAGAAGAGGAAAAACTGAGAAACACTTAATGACAAGCTCTCTGATAGTCAATGTTGAAATTAGGAATTGAGCTCCAGGTAAAATCACTTTAAGTAGGTCTTTGTGGAAATTAAAAATTTTTAAAACGATAAATTTTTAAAGGGGTAACCTACTAATGGAACAATTAAAAGCTGAATGCAGCTAGTTACAATGAGTAACTTTGTGGAATTGTAAGATTTGAAGAGACCTCTTAAGATACACAGCTTCATTTTAGGAAAAATTGAGATGCCAAAGGTGTAAGTAGGATTCGCTTGAGTTCACCCATTTCCTAATTAAATTTTTGCAATAGGGTCACAGCTCTCAGAAAATAGCATAAATTTTATCTTAATTTCTAGTGCCAGAAACTGTCTGGGGCATAAACAGTAGCTTGAACATCTGAACTGGAAGATAGCATAGTATTGGAATTAGAAATTTTAATTCTATTTAGGTAAAAGGATGTTTCCTCAAATTATGAATAAACTTTAATGTGTTCGAAATGGGTTATTTTTATTTTTTAAATGTATGCTGTTAATGCGGACTCTGGGAAAAGGAACTGTATGTACTTAAGACTTTGCTTCAGTCTTAGCTTTTGGCTTCCAGAGAAGGGCTAAGAAAACTTCAAGGGTTAAATAATATGTTCAGGTTTCATGAATCATAGGATCTCAGTCACAACTATTTAACTCTGCTGTTTTAACCCAACAGCAGCCAGATAAATGAGTGGGGCCCTATTCCAATAAAAGATTATTTTGGGGCACTGGAATTTGGAATTCGTGTGTTTCTTCACTTGTCGTGAAATACTATTTTTTCCCCCTAGTTATTTAAATTCTTAGCTTATGGGTTATACAGAGACAGCCAGCTGGCCAGATTTGACCTACAGGCTGTAATTTGCCAATTGTGTGCTGCTTTGAAGCTGGAAATACTGTCAGGATTATAGTTAGGTAAAATAATTGCTTCACGTTTTTATGAGTAGCTTTTACAAATGAACATTTAGTGGAGGGAACAACACATTGTAAGTTGTAGACCTTATGTTTTGGCTAACATTAAGATAACTTAATGCACCTAACTGAGGTGTGCAGTGGGACCTTACTCAGCCATGGGATAATTAGTGGCTTTGTTCAGGATGTATATAACAATTTATTTATCTTTTGAAGGCTAAAGAACGTGCCAATGGAATGGAACTTGATGGGCGTAGGATCAGAGTTGATTTCTCTATAACAAAAAGACCCCATACACCAACACCAGGAATTTACATGGGGAGACCTACTTAGTAAGTTTATTTTCAAAATAAATATAATTGGTAATTGTTCACTTATCAAAGAAACACATTAGTGGAAAGTCTTCAGCACTTAGATTTGTGCCATAAACTTGACTGTTGATTGATTTTAAGTTTAACTATTACAGGTAAAACTGTAAACCTTAGTCAAGTGCACTTTTAAATTTTCTTTTTTGTTTTTGTTGTTGTTGTTTGATTTAGTTTTTGTTTCGTTTTGAGACGGAGTCTCGCTCTGTTGCCCAGGCTGGAGTGCAGTGGCGCAATCTCGGTTCACTGCAGCCTTCGCCTCCCGGATCCAAGTGGTTCTCCTGCCTCAACCTCCCGAGTAGCTGGGACTACAGGCACCTGTCACCATGCCCTGCTAATTTTTTGTATTTTTAGTAGAGACGGGTTTTCACCATGTTAGCCAGGATGTTCTCAATCTCCTGACCTTGTGATCTGCCCTCCTCGGCCTCCCAAAGTGCTGGGATTATAGGTGTGAGTCACTGCGCCCAGCCTAAATTTTCTTAAATAGAGCAAAGTGATACTGTTTTTTCTTTTCTCTTGGAAATATGTGGGATATGCAAATTGACATCTGGCAGGATCTGTGTGCCTCCTTAACCAAAGATTTTTAAAAATAGGTTTATGTAGAAACAGGGGAAAGGGCAATGTTTGTTCAATATAGGTGAGAATTTTAACAGGAATAATGTTTATTTTCCAGTTAATGTGTCAGAAAAGACCTACTAGTAGATATAAAAAGTCATGTCCAGAAAGATAAGGGAGGTCACCTGCTATTTTTTTCTTTATAGTGGCAGCTCTCGCCGTCGGGATTATTATGACAGAGGATATGATCGGGGCTATGATGATCGGGACTACTATAGCAGATCATACAGGTAAGTTATGAGGTAGAAAGGTCAACGTCTGAATCTCAGTAGTGTACAGAGCAGCACTATGCTTAAGTTTTAGCCCTTGGTAAAAGCTTTGCTTTAGTACTTTTACTCTAGAAATGCAGAGCAGAAGCATAAATCAGATTTTAAGGTTCTGTGTCTTTTAATCAATTTAATGTGTAATTGGATTTCTGTTCAAATATTCTAGAATATAAATGGGATTTAGATGATAACTTATAATGTTAATAATAAAATGTATTCTTTTTAAACATTGAATGAGGCTGGGCACAGTGGCTCACACCTGTAATCCCAATACTTTGGGAGGCCAAGGCAGGCAGATAACCTGAGGTCCAGCCTGGCCAACATGGTGAACCCTGTCTCTACTAAAAATAGAAAAATTAGCCGGGCATGGTGGTGCATGCCTGTAGTCCCAGCTACTTGGAAGGCTGAGGCAGATGAATTGCTAGAACCCGGGAGACAGGTTACAGTGAATTGGAATTGCACCACTGCACTCCACTCTGGGCAACAGAGCGAGACTCTCTCCAAAAAAAAATTAATAATAATAATAATGAAAGCAGAATTATAGGCTGAGACGGGGGGATTGCTTGAGCCCCGGAATTTGAGACTGACCTGGGCAGCATGGGGAGACCCCATCTGTAAAAAATTGAGGCAGGAATCTGGGGAGATTGAAGCTGCAGTGAGCCCGGTACACTCCCATCTGAGTCTCCTCCCACCAGAGCAAGACCCCACCTTAAAAATTTAAAAAAAAAAAAAAAAAAAATTATAGCCTCTGTCTTAGTCTTGTAAAAGCAAATTTCATAAGCCATTTTGGAAAGCCACCACTTTTCAGGCAGTTTCTTGGAATCTCTAATGCATGCATCGTACACTTAGAGGGCAGGTAAAACTGATGCCTTGAAAGAGTCCAGAGAATAATTTTACGACATTAATTTAGTATGACAAGGGTAAGTCGCTTTTTATTGTTGCCAAAAATTTGGTATTTCGGGGTTTGGGTAGGGAAATGTCAATCATATTTTAAAAATAAAGATACCTTTGAGAATACTTCCAAAGATAAGAATGAAGGAAAATCGTGACATTTTGGTCCTCCCTTGCTTTGTCAAAGTGTGTAATTTGACAAGTCAAATAATACAGTTAGTATTGACCACTGTTGTCATTGATAATGGTATTGAGGTATGGATGTCTTTTTTGTGGATTATTTGGTAATGTTTAAGAAGTTAACAGTTGTTAATCATTGTCTGAAAGTGAGTCTGTAAGTGTATTCTTGTTCAGCATTTTATCACCCATGAAAACCCTTTTTTATTTAAAGCATCACTCTGTTGAATGGTACTAAAGGTACTGATTTGTTGAGACTGAGATTAGGCTGTTTGTTTGGTTTTGTTTTTTTGTGTGTTTTTTTTTTTTTTTTTTTTTTTTTTTTTTTGAAGAGCATTTACTTAGGAATGTTCTGTGTTCTAATACTACTCGTTTCAGCCACCAGAGAGAACCCTATGCAGGTTTCTAAAAAGAGTGGCAAATCACTTGACCTGCAAGAAACATCTCATTCATGCTGTATGAAAGTCTTTATTTTACTAAATGAATGACATCATTTTTTAAAACTTACAAACGGAATGCCTGTTGCCTTTCTGTCTTCACAGAGGAGGAGGTGGCGGAGGAGGAGGATGGAGAGCTGCTCAAGACAGGGATCAGATTTATAGGTACGCCAGGAGAGGACTTAGCATCTGTACAACTGTAGAAAGTTTCACATAAAGATGTTTGCCTACTAATGTTTTGGTAAATTATAAGTGGAATACCCAAAATCATACTGTTTGAAGCTCATGAAAATATTCTAACGGAAACTAAATGACTACGTAAAATCTTTGTATATTTATAAAAATTAATTGGGTTTACAATGGGTTATTATTTAGTGGTACCATTTTATACCTTGATGAGGTACAGTGATGTTAAAGTGACTTTAACTTTAAGGTGAAGTTAAAGTCACTGATAACTCATTTTTTTGTCATTGTGTTCTTGTATTACATTTTATTTGCTTTTTGTAAGCATCTAATAGCACATGAACAGCTTTTTTTACACAAAGCTAAATCCTGAAGTACTTGTGGAATTAGTTTTGGGTATTCATGAGGGTGCTGTTGGAATTATTGAATGGTATGGGAATTTTCTCTCATTTTTATTTTTAATTTTTGGAGACAGAGCAACACTGTTGCCTAGGCTGGAGTACAGTGGAGCAATTTCAGCTCACTGCAGTCTCTGCCTCCCAAGTAGCTGGGATTACAAGTGTGCACCACCACACACACATAGCTAATTTTTTTGTATTGTAGTAGAGACAGGTTTTCACCATGTTGGCCAGGCTGGTCAAACTCCTGGCCTCAAGTGATCCTCCTGCCTTGGCCTCCCAAAGTGCTGGGATTACAGGCGTGAGCCACGCACCCAGCCAGGAATTTTTCTGTTACCTCTCTTAATCATACTTCACAAAATTTAAGAGATAAGCAGATTAAAATATAGCAAGGATTATTTGACCTGAAAGTTATTTGGTACTTGGGCCTGATAATGTACTTCATTCTCAAGACTTAAACAGACATCGAAGGTTCATGCAGCGTTTCCTTTTTTGGAAACTGATAAAAGGGCAGTATTTATAGTCGTAAATTTATATGTTTAGTCTAATTATTGAGACTTAGACAATCTTGACATTTGTTTATAGAAGGCGGTCACCTTCTCCTTACTATAGTCGTGGAGGATACAGATCACGTTCCAGATCTCGATCATATTCACCTCGTAAGTTTTTATCTTAATGATTGTTTATATTGTTGTAGTATGGCTTGCTCTGGTGACAAAATACACCAAGTAACTATTCCCTTTTGCAGATAATGGATTGCTTTCAGGTAGTTTTATCTATACCTATGATTCTGCACACACCCTGAATGGTTTTTTGGTTCAAGAAAGTTTATGGAAACAACCCTTAGAATCCTATTATTTTTTAAGAAGGAAAAATTGGAGAGCCTCCTGAGCCAGAGTAGGCTCAGAGACTCCTGTTGTTTCTAACTGAAATAGTAACTTTAGTAGCTTTTCAAGAGTCCTTAAAAATTTTTGGACAGCACAGAAACATGGATTACTTTTAGCTCTCAGATTGAGTTATACTTCCCAGCAATTTCTGTTATGCAACATTGCTATCTCATTTCTAGTGTAATACATGGAAGTCTTTCTCTGTTTGGGGGTGGAGGGGTCTGGTACATAGGAATTTCTTAATGGCAGAATATTCTGAAATTCTCAGCATTAAAGTATATTTGATAATTAGTTCACTTAATGTTAAAGCATGTTCATTCTTCTCTTCCTAGGTCGCTATTAAAGCATGAAGACTTTCTGAAACCTGCCCTAGAGCTGGGATATTGTTTGTGGACAATATTTTTTATTGTCTCTTGTTTAAAAAGTGAACAGTGCCTAGTGAAGTTAGGTGACTTTTACACCTTTTATGATGACTACTTTTGGTGGAGTTGAAATGCTGTTTTCATTCTGCATTTGTGTAGTTCGGTGCTTTGTTCAAAGTTAAGTGTTTTCAGAAAAGTATGTTTTGCATGTATTTTTTTACAGTCTAAATTTTGACTGCTGAGAAGTTTCTATTGTACAAAACTTCATTTAAAAGGATTTTCTGCTGAATCCAGGGTATTCTGAAGATCGAAGCCTGTGTAAAATGCTACCAAATGGCAAAAAGCAACAATAAACAGTTTGATTTTTACTTTTCTTTCTAACATATCAATGCTTAGCAGAACTATTCAGATTAAGTTGTCAGTAGTAAATTTAAAGACAAATGCCCATTTTCCTCCAGTCCATGAAACATACCATACTTATATAACTGCAACTAAATGTTAAAAATTATGCTCTGTAACTCTGTACTGCTAGTATTAGAACTAAAAACCTTAAAATACAGCCAGCGCTTAATGCTTATATAAATGTGGATTTGTCAGCTTTTATGTAATCTGTAATATGTATAGCAGGAAATAAGAAACGAAGAGTTACACAGTGTATGCCTTAAAAGGCTGTTTCTTAAAAAGCTGTTACAAGGGGATAATGGTATTTCAACTAGTTATCAGCAAGTGACAATACATTCCACCACAAATATACTCTTGTTCTTCTAGCTTTTAGACTATATGAAAAAACTGGGTGCTTCAGAGTACATGATAAGAGAAGGGAACACTACACCTGTGTCATGGATGAACTGAAGACTTTGCCTGTTCATTTTTTAAATATTATTTTCAGGTCCTTTGCTTACCAAAGGAGGCCCAATTTCACTCAAATGTTTTGAGAACTGTGTTTAAATAAACGCAAATGGAAAGAAAAATGCTGGTGCAGCTGTTTACAAAGAAGTGTTCTTGTTCTATTAGAGTTCTTCTGTAGTTAATTGTTAGGGCAGTGTGTTCCTTGAACTGAGATGTATCTTTGCTATTTTGGGGAGGGGGAGATGAATTTCTGTTTCTGTTCCTGAAAAATTCAGAGGGATATCCATTTGGGGATGGAGTTATAGTAAATAACTAGACTGAGGGTACTTGAAATACATGTTCTTAGTTTTCTTTTGTATTTAAGTAATTTTCATGACCATTGCAGAGATGTTGCTATATGTAGATTCTTTTGTTACCTTGCTAACCTTTATCGCATTTAGATACTGGTACATTTCAGGTACTTTGAGAAGCACTTTATATACAATCTTTAGCAATGAAATGATGTAACTTACCTTAGTTCAAATAGCTGTTTAGGTGGCAATGCCACGATCTGAACCTAGGTGATGTTAGTCCATAGTTCTGTTAATCGTGATGTCATTCAGCCTCAAATTTGGGTAGCTGGGTGATGGAAAATACCAGTAATGGAGCATAGGCAGTATTGGCAGGTCTTAATTTGTAAAACTTACTGTCCAGGGTGTTGATAATCTCCAACATAACCCTCAGTTTCTGTCTTAAAGCCTGAGTTTTAGCCCTTTCGTCGTGTAGCTGTCCTTTATCCTGCTGGTTAAAAGTTTCCTTTTTTAGGCTAGTCTGAGTTATTTTTCTGGCTTTTAAAGAATTTTAAGTATTTGACATGGCCATGAAGAGTGTTAACAGGCAAAAGACCTTGAGGAAAACTTGGAATTTTACCAGGTTGGGACAGACTGAAAAGTAGTAGTAGTGGCACTACACAAAGTGGTAGTCTTTTGATGTGCTGTAATGCTAGTCACCAGTTTCATGAAAGGCAGCAGTTGAATCAGACCAAAAAAACTATGGGAAAGGATAAATTTGAGTCTTAAAGTTCTTGCCTCAAGGCAAAGGGACTTGGAGGCTTTTATATGCCAGTACAAACAATCCATTGCTTATAGCTGTAGGGCTGAGACTACTAAAACCAAATGCAAAGTTCATTTGGAAGATTGCTCAGTTAAATAGTTTCATACTGTAAGGCCCTTGTGAAACTTCTCAGGAAATAAACAGAGTCCCAACAATGTAAACAAGGCTGTGTCAAAAGATTTGTAGACCTGGGAGCAGGGGTTTCCAACCTCCTGGCCATGAATTGCCTGAGCTCCGCCTCCTGTCAGATCAGCAACAGCAGTAGATTTTCATAGCAAGAACCCTATTGTGAAGTGCGCATGTGAGGGATCTAGGTTGCGCATTTCCTTATGGAAATCTAACTACATGTTAGAGAATGCTCAAGCTCTACAATGTTTACACTGTTGCCCCTACATAAGGAATATATGCCTTAGGATGAAACTAATAGCTCTTAGCCCTCTTATTCCATTGACTAGGATTCCAATTCTGCAAGGCCCAGGAGGAGAAATTGAGAATTAGAAGTTTCACCCAGAAGAAATAAAAGGATTTGGTTTGCATTATTATCAAAATTTCTGTAAATTCGATGGAAATTTTAAAGATGGATTAGGCTGGGTTTGTTATTAGCAGTGGACACACCACCGGTATTCCTTCAGCATGCCATCTCAGTGGTTTTTATGTGATTGACTCTTGTAGGATTGGACTTAATGCTTTGTAAGGGGTTATTGTATACAGTATAAAGGATTATATATAATCTTTTATATATAATGTAAAGACTTGAAAGTGACAAGAATACTGGATTGGTTCTATTCCACTCATTCTGCCCCTTACAAGACCCAAAATAATCCTTTTTTTCCATGAGTAATCAGTTGATGAAGTTAAGAAAACTGTTTCAAGAGTTATACTGCCCTGGCAAGAGGAGATGAACTGAAATGGGATTCCACGTTTGTAGAGACCAGGTAATCACTTTTTTGCTGTGTGGGGGGTTTGGTTTGGTTGGTTGGTTTGTGTGTATGTGTGTGTGTGTGTTTTGAGACATAGTTTCACTTTTACCCAGGTTGGAGTACAATGGCGGGATTTCAGCTCACTGCAACCTCTACCTCCCAGGTTCAAGTGATTCTCCTGCCTCAGCCTCCCAAGTAGCTGGGATTACAGACACGCACCACCACGCCCGGCTATTTTTTGTATTTTTAGAGAGACGATTTCACCACATTGGTCAGGCTGGTCTCAAACTCCTGACCTAGGGTGATCCACCCACCTCGGCCTCCCAAAGTGCTGAGGTTACAGGCATGAGCCACCCACACCCAGCCAAGACCAGGTAATCACTGTTAACCCCTAGAAACTGAAGTTGGCAGGGTTAATAATTAAAAGGAGCAAGATACGATTAGTGTGTGAAAGGACCTGGCAGGAATTTCAAGCTGTAGTTAACTAGATACTAGGTTCAGGCTGGGCGCAGTGGCTCATGCCTGTAATCCCAATACTTTGGGAGGCCAAGGCGGGTGGATCACCTGAGGTCAGGAGTTCGAGACCAGCCTGGCCAACATGGCGAAACCCCATCTCTACTAGAAATACAAAAATTAGCCTGATGTGGTGGCAGATGCCTGTAATCTCAGCTACTTGGGAGGGTGAGGCAGGAGAATCGCTTGAACCTGGGAGGCTGAGATTGTGCCATTGCTCTCCAGCCTGGGCAACAAGAGTGATACTCCATCCCAAAAAAACTAGGTATTACATTCACAGAAATAAAAACACACTAGTCTTTTGCCAAAGACACCTGCAACTATTGAACTATGTTGTAGAAAGATAAATACTCAAACTTAACCAGAAATGATAGTTGACCAACATCATGGGTTTGAACTGTGTGGGTCTCCTTACAGGAATTTTCTTCTGCCTCTGCCACCCTTGAGGCAGCAAGACCGGCACCCCCACTCCCTCAGCCTACTCAATTTGAAGATGATGGAGGATGAAGACTTCTGATCCACTTTGATGTAGAAAATAAGGATTATAAGAACAGATACACAATATATACACAAGTTTTGTGTTACATAGGTTATTGGTAAAACTTCTGACCAACAGACTGTTCAGGGGGAATCAAAGGTTGTGCGCAGCTAGGTACAGAGGATTACATGAGAACAAAGACTAGGACCTCAAGAAAAAACCTTGCTCGTTGTCTTCATCTGGAGAAATAGGCATGAGTTTACAGGTATCTTCTGAACAGATCAATATCTTAACCGTCTTTGTGGTTAAAGGGTTTGAGCAGCAGGATAGATTGGTAACAAAGCAAAGGCATGGATATCCACTCAAGTTTAAACATTATTGCCAGCACTGGCAATAATGTGAAACACACTTTGATGGAAATAACTGCAATATTAAGTTTTCCTGTGAAGGGGGGACAGTAATTTTCACTGAAACTAACATTCTGGATTTGGTTTCTTGTCATTCCTTTATGGGACCTTATATCCATACCTGTATTGTACTATGTGACTTGGCTTCTGTACCAGAGTTCACTGGAGAAAACCATTTCTATACAGTTGATACCAACTATACATACTGTTTGTATTGATTTTGAGAGAGGGTCTCACTGTGTACCCCAGGCTGGAGTACAGTAGTGTGATCGCAGCTGAACTGCAGGCTTGAACTGGGCTCAAGTGATCCTCCCATTTCAGTTTCCAAAGTAGGGAACTACAGGTCCAGTTATTTTTTGTGTTTGTTTTTTTTGAGAGGGAAGCGTGCTTTGTTACCCAGGCTCGAGTGCAGTGATATGATCTCAGCTCACTGCAACCTGTCTCGGGTTCAAGCGATTCTCCTGCCTCGGCCACCCTAGTAGCTGGGATTACAGGTGCCTGCCACCACGCTAATTTTTGTATTTTTAGTAGAGACGGGGTTTCACAGTGTTGCCAAGCTCATCTCAAACTACTGACCGCGTGAGCCACTGTCTCCTGGCCCAAGTTCAGCTATTTAAGAGAGAGGGGTCGCATTATGTTGCCCAGGCTGATCTCAGTCCTCCCACCTTGGCCTCTGTAAAATGTTGGGATTACAGGCGTGAGCCACCGCATCTGGCCAGGTTCTCTATTTTTAAATCCTAAATTAGAATTAACTGAATCGTAAGGTGTATGAACATTTTTAAAGTTCTTGAATGTACCAATACGCATCACTAAATTATTTTCCAGGGCTGTACTAATTAACCTACCAGAAACTGTATGAAAGTGCCTTGAATCCTTAGTCTTAACACAAAGTTGATCGATAAAAGCACTTTGTTCAAGTTTGGAAATATCTGGACTATCATGTGAAAGGACATATGCTTCTAACTTTGCCTGTGCCTTTTAAAGTTTGCTTTTATTCACTCCATCTCAAGGCAAGTAACAACGGTGAATAGGGCATAGTTGTCTTCCATTCATCCCATTCATTGCTGTTTTTTTGTTTGTTTGTTTTTTGTGATACAAAGTTGAGCTCTTGTCACCTAGGCTGGAGTGCAGTGGCACCATGTCTCACTGCAACCTTCACCTCCCAGCGGTTGAAGCAATTCTCCTGCCTCAGCTTCCTGAGTAGCTGGGATTACAGACACCTGCCACCACGCCTGGCTAATTTTTGTGTTTTGAGTAGAGACGGTTTTGCCATGTTGGCCAGGCTGGTCTTAAACTCCTGATATCAGGTGATTCGCCTCCCGCGGCCTCCCAAAGTGCTGTGATTGCAGGCCTGAGCCACCGCGCCTGGCCACATCACATTCATTTTTGCTTATCTCCCCCAATACAGTATCGCCAAGTGCAGTGGCTCATTGTAATCCTAGCACTTTGCAAGGCCAAGGCAGGTGGATTACAAGCTCAGGAGTTCAAGACCAGCTTGGATAGCATGGTGAAACCCTGCATTTAGAAAATAAATAAATTAGCTGGGCACAGTGGCTCACCTGTAGTCCCAGTTACTTGGGCTGAGGTGGGAGAAAAAAAAATTATATTCTGGAACACTCCTTGTTGCCTTAATTAAAGCTTTTGTATGCTTATTTGCCAACCTTTCTATCACCTTTATGGAGCTCCTTGGAATATTCTTCAAGTGTGTTTAG